ATGTCAAAGGAGCCATGTTGGTTTACCCCAGCGGAGGATGTGTTTCCTAAATGCATGAGTGTGACTTTTATAAAATCCAATTTTTCTAGTGTGTGCTTAGAAACAGGAATTTGAAATTTGCTTTCTGCAACCTTCACTTAAAATGTGCTGTTTGGGCAAATATTCCAGCCATCAAACTTGTTAAACTGTTGGCAAAAGCAAACACAAAAGAGATGTGAACATAGTAAAAGTAAATGTGTGAAAATCTGAATATTGTGACTATTTGCTGTACTTGTCTATTTATTTTTGAGGATTCCTAAAATGACATGATTTTAATTTCTGTTATCCAACCTAAAAGTGTAGAGAGATGTCCTTTTCTGAATTGTTATAGTATCAAGGAGTAACAACTACAATATCACTTGAATTTGGGTAGTGTAGTTAAAAGCTGACTGATTTTTTTTCAATCACAACTATGCAGTTAAGTTAATAGAGTAAATTTATAAAGCACTTCATTTAGATGATTTTTAATTAGAATTGTTATTGTAATCTATTATATTCTACCCCACAATAACCATAAATAATAATATTTTGATCAAGAAAGAAATATTTAAGGATAAATCTTTATAAGGATGGTTTTAGTTTAACTGCAAATATTTTCTACCTTAGACAAAAAAGCTAATGGTTTGGAAAGAATTCTCCATTTCTAAGTCATTTCTGCTTCTTTTTGTCAGATGTTTTAAGTCTGAAGACCTTTTCACTAAAACCATAGATAAGCTGCGGCGAGGAGACATAATAGGAGTTGTGGGATATCCTGGTAGAACCAAGCATGGAGAGCTTAGCATCATATCTACAGAAATAATTCTGCTGTCACCATGTTTGCATATGCTGCCTCATCTTCATTATGGACTCAAAGATCAGGTAACTTCAATCAGGGCCAATCACTGGGGAAGCCCATTGGTAACTATCTAGAAGCAACTGTTCCATGGGATTTACAATTGGTTCTTTTGTACAAGTAAATTCACAGTGGCCTGTTGTGGTCTGTAGAGTTTGAATTCACAGCTATGGATCCCATATAATACCTTGCATTAATATAACACTTTCAGCCCAAAGTGCCACAGAGTGCTTTGCAAGAGATGTGTGTGCAAACATTAGTACTGAATTTAAGCCACTGCCAGGCTGAGGGAGAGCAGAAGCCAGCCTGAACAGTGAAGGATGAGATAATTTTGTACAAGGATTTTTGAGCAGTTATTTCCAAGTGAAGTTGATAGAAGGTGTGTGTGCACGCGTAAAGGAGAGACTGGCTGAAGGAAGGCTGACATATTATCATCATTTTTTGTGATTCATTGTAGGAAACCAGATATCGTCAACGTTACCTGGATTTGATTATGAATGAGAATGTGAGACAGAAATTTATTACCAGGAGTAAAATTATTACTTATTTACGAAACTTCCTGGATAATCTTGGATTTCTTGAGGTATGGACTGAGAAGACGATTGATGTGATGGTTACATTATGGTATAACATGTTTCATATTTATTCAGATACTGAATATTCTAATGGACCAAGTTTTCAAAAGCAACACATGATTTTGGGTCCTCACCAAACCCAAGATACTTTCTGAAAATCAATCTCTCTTCAGATGTCTCAAGGTGCCCAGAATTATTAGTTGCTTTAGAAGACTCTGGCATATGTATTAAAGCACGGTACTGGCATTAATTCTCTCAACAGTCCTCAGAGGTAGGTGGGTAATTATTTTCCTTACTTTAGAGGGCAAAACGGAGAAAGAAAGTTAAATGACTCATCCAAGACCATTATCTCCTGGCTCCATTTCTGCGCTCATTCCTCTAGATTGTCCCATCTTCCATGGGATAAAAAAAGTCCTGTTTATTACTGGAAAAAGACTTGATTTGCACTGAGCTGAATAACTAAATGAAAGAGGCTTACATGCTGAATAAATCTAAGTATATTTCATTGGTCATTCATCAGCAGTTGTATCTTTCAGAAAGTGCTGGTTCTAAGCAGGGTAATGCAGTGACATATACAGCAGTGTTGTCCACAGTGTGATCTGAAGGTGATGCATGGCCTGCCGAGTTCTAAAATGGAGCCTGCAGTTGCCATCCAATTTGCTATGACTTACACACAGAAGAGAGGACTGTGGGAAGGACTGATTCCCCAGCTAGATGTAAATTTCTTTCTAATGGCTCTGCTTTCTTTGGTGGTGGAAGGGAAAAAAAAAGACTAACAAGCAATATCTAACCATATGTCAAAGAATATTGAAGTGTAACTTATTTGTGATTGTGTAGGTATGTGTGTCTTCTAAAGTACTGATTTCTGTAATTCATGTCCTTTACTCAGGCAAAGCTAACACTGAAATCAGTAAAGACTGTAGGGGCAGGCCTGGACGTCGTCTTCAGGTTGCCAGCAAGTTGTCATTGTGTTACTTAGGGTTACCAAGTTTCATGCCCATCGGCTGATTTTTCTGTATCTGTGCACACACACATATTTGAGAACTCAATGCACACTCACTTATGGGTTCACAACAAATGCCTCCATTGTGTCTATGGATACATAGTCAAACACTGTGGACGTGCAATTTTGTCAGTGTTATCTTGCAGCATTTTAATTCAAATGAACATACCACTATGGAATATATAGAGCTATTAGTTGCTGGAAAATTGCTGGAAAGTTATTGCACATGTTGTGAATTCAGGATAAACTAACATTTAGTTTGTGCCAGTTCTGGGGTCTTCTGCAATCAGTGCCAGAGGGAGTCAGAAGAACAGTCTGTTTCAGCGGGATGTGTTGCAAACAATGTCAAAAGACCAAGGCACCATTTAGTTCATCTGAATGTTTAGTGTTTCCAGTGCAGTGATTGATTATTTTAAAAAGGTGGGTATTGGGATACCCCCTCTCTCTGTATGGATTCCACTTCACAGGCAATGTTTCCAACCCTCTGGTACCTGCTGGGTGCACTGGTCTTAGTTTGATTATTGCTTTTTTAGGGTTGTTTTTTTTTTTAAATGAATCTTTTGTATCTTCTAGTTGAGAGTATTACAGGGGAAGCTGGACTGAGCCTTCTCCTTAGGTTGTCGAACGTTTTTTTTTTAAAAGGATTCTTGTGACTTTTTTTTGAGATATTCTGTAAGACCTGTTGTTTGCAACAGGACTTTGAAATTCACCTGGGAGAAACCCCATAGGCTAGAAAAGAGCCTTTGTTCCATAAAATTCTGTTAAAGTTTGCTGAGATAGCAAGTATTAAATCACAACTACACTAGTCCCTTTGAAGCCAATAGTTCTACTTGTGTGCTTAGTTACACATGTACTGAAGTGTGTACTGGATCAGAGCCAGGGAGAAGATGAGCCTTGTTCTGTCCTCTTCTGTGACAGCAGTCTATAATATGGATTTAGCAACTGAGAAGTCTCTACCTCCCACCACCTTACATCTTGGCTTCCAGCACCATTTTTTAGAGCAAAAATCAGACGTGGATTTATGCCTGTCAGAAATCTGGCACTTTTTCTAAAAAATAGTTTTTTTTCTGCAGGTGAGAAACTCCTGTTACCTTTCACTTTTGTTAATAAAAAAGCTTAGGACACAAATATTTTTGGGGGTGGTTGCTTTTTATTACAAACTAGTGACAATATTGGTGAGAATCTTTTTGTACAGCTGATGTTACTGTACTTTTTTCTCCCTTTTCAGAGTGTGATTTAGAAGTGTTAATCTATTTCTTGACTATAATTGAGTAAGGGATGAGTTTAGTCTAACTCCCATTAAAGCATCCATGTGGAAAAATGGATTTCCAACTAAATGGCTCTCTGTCTCTAGCTTACTGTTCTGCTTCTTATCTGCTTGGCATGTTGTAAGCAAATTGCTCATCCATAGGCCTTTAAGGTGAGAAGGGACCTTTTATAGTCTTTTAGTTGACTCCCTGGATATAGAACATCATCCAATATTTCCTGCATCGAGTCAATAAATTTTGCTTGAGCTACAGAATATCTTTTAGAAAGACAACCAAGCTCTTTCTTTTTTTAAAGGTGGAGACTCCGATGATGAACATGATAGCAGGTGGTGCAGCAGCCAAACCTTTTATCACACATCACAATGAGCTCAACATGGACCTGTACATGAGGATAGCTCCTGAACTCTACCACAAGGTGCAGCAATTGAATAATGACAGCTTACACACCTAGCAATAGGAAATGCTCTCACTTTCCTAATGAAGAAGATTGTCCATGTATTTTTTGCATTATAATATAGTCTCTCTAAAACTATAAATAGCAGAGGGTGAACCCATACCAGCTCTAGGGGAGAGAGGGAGCAAGGGCAGGGCCTTGGGGTAAAGCATGGATGTGGTCACAGCCATGGTCAGTGAAGGCTTAGCTTATCCTGGCCTGTGATATCTGCTGGCCACGGGAAATAGGCTAAGCCCAAGAACTTGTACTCTGCTATATGAATGACATATCCTTCATTTTCTAGATGTCAAGAGGTTCTCACAGATAGATAGATTACCAATGTTTTAATATATATGTAAATGGATAAAAATTGTTCTGCTAGCAACGACTAATTGTTTTGAAAATGTTCTGTAGTGACTAAGTATATGCATTTGACTTAGAAAGCACTGACACTCTTCTGTAGATAGGAAGGAGTTATTGAATCATATCTGTCACTGGTGATGCAGCATGATTAAAAGCTACCTAAGTCTTCACGGATCTGCCTATGACGTTTGCAGTTCATTTAGATGTAGGAAAAGCAAACACCTGTCAATTGCAATTATTATCAAAACACAAAGTTTAAATCCACATTTTTTACATGGATTCTCAGGCCCAAATACTAAATACCCCCTTCTGTAGGCATCCTTCAACAGCAAACCAGCCATTGGAAAGCAGCATGAAGTCCTTGGGAGTTCCATATACAGAGACTTTGCAAGACTGGACTCTAATTTTAGGCTGGCTTTTATTTTTTTTCAGTGAAGAATTGCAATATAGAATTGGCAGGAAAAATTGGCAAAGATCACATCCCCGTATATAAGGTTTCACTAAACATATGGTGAATATTAGGACTAATCACTTGTTATAGAGAATTGATATCCTCCCCAAGAAGAAAGTCAGTAGGGAATAATCTGGATTTTTTTGCAGATGCTAGTAGTTGGAGGTCTAGAGAGGGTATATGAAGTTGGACGTCAGTTCAGAAATGAAGGAATTGATCAAACCCACAATCCAGAATTCACTACGTGTGAGTTCTACATGGCTTATGCAGATTACAATGATCTCATGGACATCACTGAACAGCTGCTGTCAGGTATGTACTTGGGATAATTATATAGATTCATTAATGAACAACTTCAATGGTTTGGGTCAGGGGAGAGTCATTCAAAGACCATAAAGGAATATAACTTGTATTGATCAAATAAAAGTGCATGCAATTGACAAATAAAGGGATATAATATATTATTGTTTGGCTAATATTGAATAATTGGACCCACAGAAGATATGAGAGGACAGGATCATTTTTTTTTATTTCCCTTTTACAAAAAAATTGCTGTCTGTTATCACATAGGGTATGTCTAGGCTACATGCCTCTGTCGCCAGAGCCATGTGGATTAATTTACTAGACATACCTAAATGAAGCGGCAATTTAAATAATCGCCGCTTCATTTAAATTAAAATGGCTGCCGCGCTGAGCCGATCAGCTGTGTATTGGTTCAGCGCGCTAGTTTGGACTCTCCGTGGTCGAAATCAAAGGCATTTGTCGACCGCCCCAGTAAACCTCATCCCACAAGGCATAACGGGGTGGTCAACAAATGCCTTTGATGTCGACCGCGGAGCGTCCAGACTAGCACGCTGAGCCGACAAACAGCTGATCGGCTCAGTGCAGCAGCCATTTTAATTTAAATGAAGCGGCAGTTATTTAAATCGCCACTTCATTTAGGTATGTCTAGTAAACTAATTTACATGGCTCTGACGACAGAGCCATGTAGTCTAGACATACCCATAATGTCTTGTATAACAATATCTCTTGATCAGAACAGACAATATGTTGCAAGTAATACTATAGCTGCCTATGTAAAAGTCCAGGAATTCAGTCAGATTAAGATGAGTTCTGACATCTCACATTTTACTTATGCTAAGGCATGGTGAAGCATGTGACAGGTAGCTACAAGATCGCTTACCATCCAGACGGCCCTGAGGGAAAGGCAGTAGAAATTGACTTCAGTCCTCCTTTTAGACGAGTCAGCATGATGAAAGAACTGGAGAGAGTCACGGGAGAGAAACTGCCAGCACCAGAAAGTCTGGATACTGAGGGTATGTTAAATCTGTTAGGGCTTATCTCTGGGGTTTGAATGATGCAATGAATTAAATAGTAAGCCATTTTCACTTCACTGATCACTAAAGAAATTTTTGTGTCGCAAGATTTGTAATTGTGTGATAACCTTTCATTTTTTGTAACAGCGTGTTTCATGCCCTGGTTAAATTTCACTTGTATAGTCAGGAAAGAAGTCTGTGTGTATCTTAACCTTAACACCAACATATATCATAAAATGCATGGTTTTCCTTTTAGAGGTACTTTCTGCCACTTATGCCTTTCTCTTGAATATTCCTTTGAGACAGATGTTCTATTCGCTGCTTTCTGCCCAAAGGTGATTTTTTTTTTAAGTTCAGGCAACATTTTTTCCACTATGTTTGAATGATGGAAATGTGAAAAGGCACTTTTGTATTGAAGTGAAATATTACTGACTACAAAAATGCCAGGCATGGCATATGAATAAACCTCAGCGAGAGATGAGTTGCAATGCTGCTGTTAAAGAAAAGCAATTTAGTACTGTGAAAAGTTCTTTACATGGTTGCACAAACATATAACTTTAATTTGCATAGTTATATTGACATGAATTACTTCCTACACCGGTCTGATAGGTGTCGTATCAGGAATACATATTAGTGTAAATTATGTGATGTAACCTACATCTATATGAGGATTTGAGTTAGTAGGATTCTTTATTCCACCCTGGGGAAGAAGAGCCACAAGACAGGAATGAAGAAGTAGCTGGCTTCCTGCCAGGGGATCCCAGCTCTTGGGTGGGAGAGAAGAGATGTTTTGGGGCAGGGATCCCACACCTCAATAAAGGGGAAGGAAGAGAGCTGCCTCGGTGCATCTTGTTCTATACATGCCTGTGGCTCTAATGGGAATGTCAATTATTCTTGGAACTTGTCCTGTTAAGCAAATGTTGAGATGATAGTGACAACTGCTAAGAGTTCCCAGACCTCAGCCAACTATTATGTTAATAGTTTAATAAGAACATAAGAGTGGCCAAACTGGGTCAGACCAAAGGTCCGTTTAGCCCAGTATTTTATCTTCTAACAGTGGCTAACTCCAAGTGCCCAAGATGGATTGAACAGAACAGGTAATCATCAAGCGATCCCATTCCCAGCTTCTGACAAATAAATGGACCTATCCTTCATGAACCCTTTTGTAGTCTTGGCCTTCACAATATCCTCTGGCAAGGGGTTGCACAGGTTGACTGCATGGGGGTGAAAAGAAAAACTTGCTTTTTTTTTTCTTTTTTTTTTAAATCGGCTGCCTTTAAATGTTATTTGGTGACCCTTAGGACAGTCTACTCCCTTCCTTCAGAAAAAAAGCCACATTTGTCTTCTCTTGATTTTGTTCTTTCTTTGTCCTTGATTTCTAAGCATATTTGCAATAGCCAAGCTGAAATATCTCAGTCGTCTTAGGGTACGTCTAGACTACAGGCTTTTGTCGACAGAAGTTTTGTCGACAGATACTGTCGACAAAACTTCTGTCGACAAAGAGCGTCTACACTACATTCAGTTCTGTCGACAAAGCAAGCTGCTTTGTCGACATGGTAGTGTAGACGCAAAGGACAGTTTACATGCAATAACACCTTCTGTCGACAGAAACTCTGTTGACAGAAGGCGTTATGCCTCGTAAAATGAGGTTTACCAGCGTCGACAAAACTGCTGAGTTCTGTCGACGTTATGTCGACAGAACTCAGCGGTAGTGTAGACGCAGGTATAGTTTTGTTGACAAAAGTCCACTTTTGTCGACAAAACTCTGTAGTCTAGACACACCCTTAATCTCTCCCCATATGGCAACTGTTCCATACCCCTAATCATTTTTATTGTCCTTCACTGAACCTTTTCTGCTATTTGGTCACACAGCTTTCCTCATTCTATTAGAATTACTTGATAAATGATGAATTTCTCTGTTCAGCACTAACTCTTACAGTAAAAAAAAAAGTTATTTGATGTGAAGTAACATGAATAGAAACACACCTGCAATGACATTTAATGAGGATCGGATCAAAAAAGCTTATGAATAAAAATGGAGTGGGGGAGAGGAGTGAGCCAAGTGTGAAGGAAAAGATCAACAAGGGATGGAATACTGGATTGGGAAGGGGGAAAAGAGGAAAAAAAATACAGATGTGGCTGTTAGAGGAAAGGGTGGGCATAGGAGAATAGTGGGAGAAGGTGGGAAATGAGGAGAGTTGGCAGAAATCTTGCAGTAGTGAGAAAAGGTTACTTTCAGGTAGAGTATAAGGAAGAAGAAAAGTGTTTTTTTAGGATATATTACATATTGGATACTGGGAGAGAGGAAGAGTCATAGCTTATATAGATGGCTCCTATAAGTAGGGTGTACGAGAAGGTGGCGCCTTTAGCTTTTATTCTCCCACATTCTGAACTAGCAGCTGTGTAAAAGGAAACAAAAATAGTAACGGTACGCAGTGCTTAATCTAAATGGCCATCGTTATGCAAGGTAAGCAACTGGTGATGTCTGAGGGTAGATGTACTTCTCTGTTTTGAGCTGGCTTGTGTTATTAAAAGCAGAATTGCCAGACTGAATACAAAGCTTCAATTCTCTCCAATGCCTCTCCTAATGTAATGCTAACGAAGCACAGCAGAACTCTGAATTCCGCTATGGGTTTAGTGTATATGCATGGTGGCTATTAGAACACATCATTATGACTGAAATTACGGAGTTTAGAGTGGAACCCAGAGGAGTCACTATACAATTAAGATTACAAATGCAGTATAGCCTGGTTCATATCCCCAAAATTGCAAGGAAAACACATTTGGATAAATGGAGGTCAAGTAAACTGGGTGAGGGGAGCAATTTAAGAAAGCAATTCATGCTGGGGAATATAATTGTGATTCCAATAAAAGGGTGTTGTGATCACATGGAGGATGGATGAACATGATTATTCTGTGGAGGTTTTCAAGAATGGGAGCAGGCAAGGTGATTTAAGATGAGGGAGCAGAAATGCAAGCATGCTCTGGAACTAGAGGAGAATTCGAATTAACTCATTGTGAGCATGTCTTCATGCAGGGACAATCCAATGTATCTAGACTTGGAGTAACTCCTCTCCAGTTAGCCTAGTTCTAATACAAGTGGCCACAATGTGAAATAACACTTGAACTGTACAGTCGGCATTAGCAGCACAGAGTAGCTCCCCCTATTATTAGCTCCAGCATTGGCAGCATTCAGACTTCAACCCACCCCCAATGATGGGGTAGCTAGAACTTGCTCAGGATTTTTACAGGTAGGATTCACATAGCCCAAGCTAACATTGCAGTGAAGGACAGCCCTAAAATTCAGTAGTCTTGAGGCACTAGCGATGACATCATTCAGCTCAGTCACAGATTCAAGTGGAGCCAGGAGTCCAAGGGTGTGTCTAAACTACAGGTTTTTTTATTATTTTAAAAAGTGGCCTTTTTTCGAAAAAAAAAAACCCCTGTATTTGCGTCTAGACTACCGCCATGTTCTGTTGACAGTAAATTGAAAGAACGTGGCGGTTTTGTCGACAGCAGTAAACCTCATTCTACAAGGAATAACACCTTTTTTGAAAGTCATCTTTTGAAAAAAGGCGCTATTGCACGAAAACAGGGCTTTTTTGAAAGAGAGCATCGAGACCCTTTCAAAAAAGCAAGCTGCCTTTTCGAAAAATCTTGTTGTCTAGACACTTTTTCAAAAGATATTTTCGAAAAAGCCTCTTTCGAAAAAGGAGTGTAGTATAGATGTAGCCCAAGTGATGAAGTGTCTGTATCACATGACGGTGGTTCCGTGAGCTATCTGAATAAGTTGGAGCCTTTTTTGGATAAGAGAGCAGTTTCTGCAATACCACAACCTAATTGGCACCTTTACCCTTTTAGTTGAGATTCTCAACAAAAAACAGAATAGGAGTGGAGGTTGCCCTACATAGTCTCCTGTGACTTCCAGGCTAGGGCAAAGTCCACTGGGGAGGAATTAGAGGAAGTTGTTGCCCATGATGTACTTGGTCTGTGGATAGGTAAATGTTTATATTTCAAAAGTGTATCTGACACTTTTTATTAACTTTAAATTCCCTGACACCTTTTCTTTCTCTTACTCCTATCTCCTGTATGGAGACCATTACAAGCTTTTTACTGAGCTGTTTCCTGAGCTAAGTATTTTTATGTCAAAATGTAAATTGAAATCAGCAGTTGAAACTAAATGTTAGGAGGAAATGTACCTTTTTTTGTTCCAAAATTAATTAGTAACTGAGCTCCTTTATTAACACACAGTCATAATTATTTTCATTTGTAGAAGCCCGACAGTTCCTTGACAAGCTATGTTTGAAGAAGGGAATCCAATGTACTCCTCCTCGGACTACAGCAAGGCTTCTAGATAAGGTTTCCTTGTCTTTATTTTGTTTCCTTCTTCTGTATAATATTTGGTACATTTCCCAACTTTTGGTTACATAACACTTAAAAATCTCACTGTACTATTCTGTGTGTATTTGGAATGACATCAATTTATGTTTTATATGGTTCCTTGTATATTGTGTATATATATATATAAACTTGTCTGGGATTTTACTGAAACTTGATCAAAGATATTTTCATAATATGTTTTTTCTAGAAGACCATTAAATTCAGTTTAGTTAGTCTGAAATTAGAGACATCCATCCCAAGCTAACAAAATATGTAAATGGTATCATGAGCCTTTGTGGGCACAACCCACTTCAATTGAAGTGGGTTGTGCCCACAAAGGCTCATGATACCATTTACATATTTTGTTAGCTTGGGATGGATGTCTCTAATTTCAGACTAACTAAACTGAATTTAATGGTCTTCTAGAAAAAACTTCAGAATTATTCTGGTCTAGTCAACTCTGTTTGACATAATTTCAAGTAGTCTTGACAGTGCGTACATTGTGGTTATATTATGGTCCATATGATATGCTAGTGACTAACTAGAGTGATTAAAGCTGGAGTAAATTTGACTTAACTCCCAGTTTAACAAATTCAAACTAGCGTGCGCACGGTACAGGGAAGCCTCAAAATTAGTCTGAAGCAGATTCCATTAATATGGATGTACAACCTTGATGTAGAGCCCCAGGAAGCACTGGGGAATAATTAGTTCATATTACTCTGGGGAGTAATTATTTTGAAATAGCAACACTGGAGCAGCCATACCACAGTTATTTTGAAATAACTGTTTCAAAATTAGCGTTACTCCTGATGCAAATCAGGAGTACAGATTTAGAATTCCAGGGCCCGTTATTTCAAAATAATGGGCTTAGTAGTGTGGACGCTCCACTTATAAATTAGACCTTGGAGGAGGTGGAGAGATTATTTTGAAATGAAGTCCTAGTGTAGACCAGGGCTTCTGGAATTTAGCAACTTTCTTCTGGAGTATAGCTTCTTCCCAGCTCCACTCAGTGGCCAAATTGTGAGGTCTTTACTCCATTCTCATTTGTTAAAGACCTTTTTGCTATCTTTGATGCAATTATTTGACCCTTATCTTTGAGCCTTTCTACCCAGTAGTCCTTTGAACTCTGTGTTCTGGTTCTATTACTATTTTCATAGCTCCTCATCCTCACTCATGTTTTTGTCAGCTGCCCTTTTACAGTGAGCTCCTAAAATAGGCTTGGACTGAATGTCCACCCCAAATATGCCCCAGAAGTAATTTTAAGGCCTGCCACTATCTTTGAAACTAGCTGACTCCAACACAATTGGAATAATCTCTCCAATATTGAGATAAATGGCAATTCTTATGATGCCGTCAGGGATAATGTAATTATGCTGAGAACGAAGTGAAATGCAAGTAAAAAAAAAACTGAAGTCTCTGTCTCTTTGCAGTTGGTAGGTGAGTTTATTGAAGTTTCCTGCATCAACCCCACCTTTATTTGTGACCACCCCCAGATCATGAGTCCTCTGGCTAAATGGTATGTAATATCAGTGCAAGTGTTTTAAATTTGAACTAGATTTCAGTTCATTGCAGGGGTCAGTAAAGTTATCCATTTGTAACTGTGGTTTTCTACTGAAAGCTAAATTGTGACTTTTGTCCATGTTATTGTTTTGTTATATTATGGTATAAAAGTCAGCTGCTGGCGCTGTAGTTGAGGGTTGTGAATTTCAGAAAAATGAATCCCCTCAAGGTGCATTATTTATGTACATACAGTTTAGGTCTTTGGTATGTCAAGCGAACCTGATCGTACCCATAAACCAGCTACATAGATGACTGTTACCTTTAATATGCTCACACTTCTTTTCACCTACAAAATGTAGGGCACAAAAGTGGAAGTATAATTAAGGCCAGGATGCACATATGCCTCAATCCATATAAAATAATCCACTGTACATTTTTTCCATTATTTTTGGAGAAACATACATTTTGAAGGCATTCACGGAAAAGAAAAAAGCAGTCATTGCAGGGAAGAAAAGACTCAAAACTAATTCTATAAAATGTTTAATTTCCAAGATAATTTCACTCTTTTGGCTCTGGATTTGCTGGAAATGAGGTTCACCCACCCTTTTCACAGCTCTAACAACAAGTATGAAATTGTGTTATTTAAGAAAATAAGTGGCATATGGTATAATTAAGTGTTTTCCTATAGAACTCAGGGAAAGATGTTCCAAAATTAAATTAAAACCCTAAAGTGTATGTGTTGAGTCCTTTATTGGAATTTTGATCCCAGTCTGGAGACCAAACTTTTAAATTGTGCCTCTTGTCTTGTCTTTCTAACCAGGCACCGTTCACAGAAAGGCCTGAGTGAACGTTTTGAACTCTTTGTGATGGAAAAGGAAATTTGCAATGCTTACACTGAGCTCAATGATCCAATGAGGCAGCGAGAGCTTTTTAAGGACCAATCTAAGGTAACAACTTCCAAAATGACAACAGTATGAACTAAGATATCACGTTTAAAAGCAATGAATGCAAGCTCTTGCCTTGAAAATTAACAGCCACAAGCTGAACAGATCTAGGTCCTCTGCACTGACCTTGAATTATTGTTTGGACTAATTTTGCTTCCCTTAACTCAGAGGATGTGTTCATCAGCTTTAAACAGGGTTTGGGTTCAACATAGCTTATGTCTTTTTTGTCATCTGTCTGACTGAAAAATCTGTGGTATTATTGAAGCATAGTTAAAGATGGGGTTTCTTTTCACATTCACAGATTTTTTTTTGGTACACATTTAGCATGTTATTAGTTTTTTCAGAAGGCAGAAAAAGTTTTTTCTAAAACCCCAAATTATAAAGAAAAATGCTTTCCAAATTCATTTTTTCCCTTTCTCTTGCGAGTACCATTACTTCTAGTTAGTGATTGGGTGCAGAAGGGAAGGTTTAAATGTAGTGCATAGCCAGTTCTTCACAACATTTTGGACCCATGACACTCATTTCCAGTTATCTTTTTTTAAGGGGCCCACAGCAGAAATGAGATTGAGCTTTTTGACTTCCTACCTATATTGTATTTGTGCGACCTTCCCACATGTTGCTGCATTTGGCTAGCATGTCAGTTATAAGACTCAGAGGCAGAATGTGGTAGCAGAGCATACCACCATTTAGATGCCTTGCCTGTTCTCCAGTAAAGTCTAGAGGGCAGGGGTTGGCAATAATTTTTGATGGGGGAGCCACTCCAAGAATTTGGTAAGTGGTCAAGGTTCTGCAACTTCGATAACATTAATGGAAGAGATGAAGGGTCTGGGATGGAGGTTGGGTGCAGAAGGGAGCTTGGGGTAAGGGATTGGGAGGCAGTTTGGGTGAAGAAGGGGGTTGTGACTTGAGGCAGAGAACTGCAGTATAGGAGGGGGTGCAAGGGTTTGGGTTGTGACCTGGGGCAGGAGACTGGGATGCAGAAGGGCGTGTAGGGGTTTGGGTTGTGATCTAGGGCAGGCAGGGGATTATTATCTGGGGCAGCGGATTGAGGTGCAGGATCTGGGAGGGGATATGGGTGGGGGCAGCAAGGAGTTTGGTTATGTGGGGTGGGGGACAGAGGATTGGGGGAGGGGCTGGGGTGCAAGAGGCAGGCTCTGGTCAGGAGACTTACTTGGGTAACTTTTGGTCAGAAGCCCATCAGGTTTCTCAAGCAGATTTCCTGCTTTCCATGTCCCCTGCACCGGCTGCGGGGCCATGTGCTTCTGTGAACAGCTGCAAGCCCAAGGGGAGAGGAAGAGGTGTACTTTGCATGCTGCCTGTATTTTGCACAGGCAGCTCCCATTGGCTGGAAATCAGCCAATGGGAGCTGCAATATTATGCTGGGGAGGAGGTAGCATACAATGCCTCTCCTCCCCTTTTTGGGCTTGCAGCTGTTGAAAGACAAACAGGATCCCACAGCTGGCTTTTCTGAGTGGTGTGCAGGGGTGGGGCAGGCAGGGAGCCTGCTTGAGGAACCAGTGGCTTGATGGACCAGATCTGGCCCAGGGCCCATATTTTGCCTAGCCCTGCTAAAGGAAGTACCTGAAGTATCCCCTAACTTTCAGTCAAGGGATTAAGAATTCTCTAGGTTTAAATAACCTAATCAAGGACACTTTAACCAGCTGGAAAGTAACTAGTGTTACACGGTGAATTGTCAGGTAGAAGATTTTCCTCAGGGCTTGAATTCTCAAGAGTATTTCCTAGAGCCCCAGGGTCAGACCTTCTGTGCCACAGATTTGAAAATGTGTATCCGGGCTCTGCTTCTGTCAATTCCACCTGCATTTAAGCCCTGTTTTTCCTCTTGTGAAAGATCGTCATGTCTCCTGCCATCATCAACCTATGGAACAAAGCACTCATAATCGCACCCAAATCTTTTCCCTTCTGAGCTGCTGCTAAGGTGATATTATTGAAGACCACCCATTTATATAGGTCCCTATGGACTGCAGCTCTGCTACCCAACTGTAACTCAGCCAAGGAGGGATACAGACGCAGCCAGACTTGAATCACAAAAAAGAAATCAGTCTCTTACCTGCTGACCGAAAATGCTGCAGTTTCAGCAGCACATGTTTGTATAATGTCAGAGTGCTACATGGGACATTCAGTAGCAGTAAATAGAGTTCATGCTACACATCTTTTACAGTGAGTTATAAGTGCCTAGAGACTTGCCAAACAGATATTTGAATTGTGTTCATATTGTTTTGGGGCCTTAGGCTAAAGCAGCAGGTGATGAAGAAGCCATGAGTGTTGATGAAAACTTCTGCTTAGCATTGGAATATGGACTTCCACCCACTGCTGGCTGGGGGATAGGAATTGACCGTCTTGCTATGTTCCTCACTGACTCCAACAACATTAAGGTAGGTGAAGCAGTAATTAGAAAACAGCAAAAGGTAAATAAGTAGTTTTCATGCCTAGGATAACTGTTCTACTATTTTTTCATAAAGGGCAAAATAATATTGCTTCAAAATGACTTCATTCCATGTAGCATTTTGCTGCTTCTAAAGCAGGCAGAAAGGAGGATATGGAATATGTATAAAATGTCTTGTATTGCAACTTTCCACCATGTATGCCCAGGAAATGCAAAGCATCTACAAGGTGATGGGCTGGAAAGAGCAGCCAGGCTGCTTTGAAGCCCAATTGCACTCTGATAGCCACCCACCAACTTTCTAGTATCTCTGTACATTTGCAAGAGAGTACAGCCAGAGCCATCCTTAGAATGTATGGGGCCCTATGCAGTACTATTAAACTGGTGCTCCTGTGCCTAATGGCACCTGGGAAGAGGATTTTTTAGAGATGTGATTTTATAATCTTCATCAACACACTAATGAAATAGTTTTAAAACAAACTGTAAATTAAAGTCCTGTCGACTAACACAGTAAATTCAGAAAGTGACAGTATCTACCTGGGGTTGGCAAATACCTGTTAAAAAGCTTCTTTACCATTTGAATGGCTCTTTCACAAGTTCAGTGTTCTGCTAATAGGTCTGGCAGGCTTTTTCACTTTTAAGTTAACTAGGTCCTCTCAGGAGGAAGCAGAGAGTCAGGGAAGAAGGATAGGAAGAGGCAGAGGGTGGATATTAAGACTCAGTGGTGCCCCAAATTTTCGGGTGGCCTATGCAACTGCATATTCTGGGTATTATAGATAAGGATGGCTCTGAGTATAGCTCTGTCATGCTGGGATTGGATCTAACCAAAAAAAAAATAATAATAAAAAATAAAAAATTGGGAACCACTTCTCCATCTTTTTCTGTGTATTCTATAGATACCTGAAAAGCAGTACAGTATATAAAGCTCCATATTTCAGTATTAGACACCTGCAGCTTCTTGCATGAATTTCAATAGGCCACTAGCAATAAGGGCAAATTCAAAAAGTACTTATCCATATATTTTAGAAGTGTGCATTTCTCTCTCAGTATTTAAGAAACCAGGTATGGTGTGTTGCTCTACCCTCCTCTGCGCTTAATATGGCTGCCTGGTGAAGGATCATAAAAAACAATTATATTTCCTTTGTCAATATGTGTTTTAAAAACTGTAATTGTAGCACTCGTACTTGACTAGAGGGTAAGTGACTGGGCTTGGAGGCACATACCAATGCCAGGAAAGACCCGGAATTAGGAGAGCAGGAGTTGTCAGTATACAGAATAATGTTGGTACAGTACCTTAACTCTGTATCTATGGTCAGTGGTGCTGACAGGCTTACTGAATGTAAAGAGCCTTCATTTCTCAATGTCTACTATGCAGCATTCCAGAGACCAGGATCTGAGTCTTGCTTACCCAAAGGCTCTATTATATTGCTCTCTAAATAAATTGTATTTACTCCTTTTTAGGACTCCTTTACTAGAAAAACAGGGTAAGGAGGCCTTGATTGTAAATAAGAATAAGGATCAGAGTTAGCTGGATTAAAACATATTGAAGTAAATCTAAAGCTAATGACTAGTGTTACTAATTCTTGCAATCTTATTGCAAGTTCTCTAATATCTCATGTTTAACCTACTTCAGCTCTCGAAGACAAGTGTTTAGGTGAGAATCTGTTTTCTTTTTTCAAGTAAGTTTCTAGCGCATATAGTTGCAGAGAGAAGCATGAAAAGGTGATCCCAGTGCACTGAAGAGGCTCAAAAGATTAATAAGAACCCAATATTTCTTTAAATCTCATTTTTAATTCGGTTTCATGACTTTTTTGGAGCCTGACTCATGATTTTTCAAAGTTTTGGCATTGGTAATTCTAGTATCATCTTGTGGTGTGTGTTTTTTCTCCCCCTGTGCTTTAGGAGGTTCTGCTCTTCCCAGCAATGAAGCCATGTGAAAACAAACCGTAATAAGAGAAATAAGAGAACTGAAGTACAATTTCGAGGTAAAAGGTGAAAAACCAACCTAATGATATCTGTGTAAATTTCACATGGAAATTTACAAAACCATAGTGACAACTTGTTAAAGAAAGATATATTAATGCAGAAGTACTCCACTGCAACAATGTAGCTTTTTACTAATAGCATGGACTAATAACATAACTACATATTTTATAAGGAGAAAGTACTGTATAGGGAAAGCAACTTTTTCAACTTAGAATGCACAGTCAAAGCTAGCGGGCATAAAATTAGATCTGCCAGTTGCATGTGTGTGATGTTTTTCTTTTGCTGTGGCTATCTGATCTGTACTTGTACTGACAATAAAACCCCTGGAGAGCAAGTCTCTTATAAACATTGATAATGTGCCTCCTTGTAAGAATAGAACAGATAGGCACAAGTAGGGAAGCATTATATGCAACTCAGTAGCTTGCCCATGAAAAATTGTGTCTATGGTTTACTTGTTGTCACTGTCATGTGATAATGTAAGAGTGATGTGAAGATTCTGAAATAAAACCGAATGTTAAAAGTTGGGAAGACAATGTGAAAGAGGCTGACTCCACTGCTTTCAGTGAAGTGACCCGAGGGATGACTTCAGACCACTGCTTTTATGCTTGAAGTGACCCTTTCAAGATTGACAAGCATATACTGTTACCTACCATCACAGTCATTAAAGTTACCTCATGGTGGAATCTCAGAATCACAATTATCCCCTATACTTGGACCAGGACAGCTGTAGAAACAGCTGGCAAAAATTCAATTTAATGGTTTCTGTGGGTAAAATTGAATTGTGGGGTTCTTGGTCTTGATATGCTTCCTTTAAGGAATAAAGGAAATGAGTCCAACTTCTAAGGATCAGTTCAATAAAAGAGATTACTTCAGCTAACTTCTCCCTCTAATACTGTGGGACCAACATACCTACAAGAACCTGCAAACAATTTATCCTCCATCACTCCGCTGAAGTTCATAGGTGTGAATTTCGTTTGGTCAGTCTTAGTTGATATTACTAACCATGTAATCTGTCTCTTGTCTTCAATATAACCAAACTCTGTTTCATATAAGCAGGTAAAATCTAACATTTTCTTGTTAATTAGATTAGTATCAGTTGCTGTACACCTATGATTTGTGTCCATTATTTTCTATGCATGCAATTATTATGAAGGAGGTGAGGTTGCTCTGTATTAATTCAGGAATACTATATTTGCTCTATAGTTGGCCAATTGCTGCTGTAAGGGATGTTTTCTGTCTGACTAGTGTTAAGTCAAAAGGAGCTGTTAGTGTTTCATTTCCTGATTGTTTTTACTATGATTAGATAAAAGACACTTCTCAGTAAACTGGTTCAGGATTTTTAAGAGAACAGGGATTAGGCTATTAACTGGGAAGATCTACCTGCCTTGGTTCTAACTAGACTAAGAGACTTATCATGCCTAGCTTTAAGGACCCTAAACTATTAGGATTTGCAAAGGCACCTGACTCCACCTTAGTAACACATTTGAATCCCACCCTTAGGGACTTTAGAAGGGGGGAGAGGCCAGTTTCAGGGGGAATGGCTGCCCAAGACACTTTGTAGAGGGAATCTGAAGATGGGCTTACTTGGCTACCAACAGGCAGACAGTAAGTTCAAGGCAGGGTCTGCCAACAACATTTTGGTACCGGAGGAGGGGAGCTCAAATGATGCCCCCATATCCCCTCGCTTGGGCCAAAACTTGGAAAGGTCTCAATTCTGCTTTCTTGCTGTTCTCCTCCTCTCATGGCACTCCACCATCTCTGTGCATCTAGAGCAGAGAGAATACATATACACCAGCAGCAGACACATTTTTCTACACCCTGGGTCCTAGTGGCACTCCCTGCACAGTCTGGCACCTGAGACAGCCACTTCAGTTCACCTCATGATAAGGCCAGCTCTGGTTCAAGGTAGATAACCTAATTACAAATTGGTGTTCAAAGACTGGATGGTTACTTATCTGTTCCTTTGATCACAGTTCCCACAGGGTAGAACTGCAGATACTGAATTTAAACTGAATTTGCTGGGGGTGATCCTAGTTAGTAAGCAGGTGTCTGTAACTTAGGTGGGTCCTGGTCTAAGAGTGGGAGAAAGGTGTAATTATATCTAGCGATATAAAAGTGTGAGACTTATCTGTTAGGGTGCACAGAGATCCAGAGAGGGCAGTGTAAATCTAACCCTGCAACTGTGACAAGTGTTTGTACTTCAATAAATAGATACAAACATGGGAGATATTTTTAGTCCTGCCTTAGATTTTTGTTTTGCTGTGGAGTTTACATGTCAGACTATTAATCCTTCCTTCAGTAAGCTTTGGACTTCAGTCAATATATATCTGTTCAGTATCACTTTGTCGCTTTATTTTTCTTACTTGAGATTTTCAACTTGTATACAACTTCTGTAAGGAAAAAATACCCTAAAATATTAGAGATCAAGGTATTACTATTGATTTTTAATTTGTTAAAATAAATCTTAGGTTGAATGAAATCTCTCCAGAAAATAATATATAATTTAGTAAATTCTGATTTTTCTCCCATTAAACTATTTTGGACTTTATCTTTAAAGCTGTTACGTCATTATTTTGTAAAGTTGTGCACACCTCATGGGATGCATTCTTGGATTCCTTTGCAAGGGTATGGAATTCCTAGGAGACTAGTTTTGTTGCAGATTTAAAATTAACAGATGCTTTGGAAACAAGCTTTTAAACGGGACAAAATGGATACCAGTTTTCCAGCACTAGAATTCAACAAACAGTGGCGTTTGTGGAGTATGTTTGGGGCAGTAAGTTGGAATCATTGGAATGATTTCCTCAAGGATCCATCAACCTAGTGAGCTCCTGGTACCATCGACACACAAACTGCCTTATTCACTTGTGTGCACTCTGTAGTTTGATGTGGTTATAACATTTATACTTTGCTTTAGTCATCCGCAGTGTGTTTCTAATTGAGATTGTATGTGCTCCCACAACTAATAAAATCAGTTATGAAAAAATTCAATATGAATTTTATACAAATGACTAAAAGCTCTCAGGGTACGTCTAGACTACAGGCTTCTGTTGACAGAAGTTTTGTCGACAGAATTTGTCGACAAAGAGCGTCTAGACTACATCCAGTTCTGTCGACAAAGCAAGCCGCTTTGTTGACATGACAGTGCAGACACAAAGGACAGTATAGATGCAATAACGCCTTCTGTCGACAGAACTCTGTTGACAAAAGGCGTTATTCCTCGTAGAATGAGGTTTACAGCCATTGACAAAACTGCTGAGTTCTGTCGACAGAACTCAGCGGCAGTGTAGATGCAGGTATAGTTTTGTAGACAAAACTGGACTTTTGTCGACAAAACCTTGTAGTCTAGACACACCCTCAGTGTCGAGAGGTTTGTGTCCCAGGACAGCAGTACTGCTTAGCGGTAATGTTCCAGTCTGCTGCTCAAAGTGAGAGTTTGTGGCCACTTTGCCTAGCAGCAATAGCAGGGTTTCCCAACCTATGGGTTGTTGCAACCCAAGTATGGGTTGCCATTACATTTCAGAAGGGTTGCCAAGAGTCTGCCCAGGTGGCTCGACCACCCCGCCTCCCCCTGTTTTTGAGTTGCCTTGGGTTACCAAGTCTTCCTGAATTGTCAAAATGGATCCCCATCTGGAAAAGTTTAGGAACCGCTGAGCTATAGCTTGTACCAGTGTCATCCAAAGGCAAGAGTTTGTGGCTGCCTGTCTTTGCAGCTAGAGCCAGTGAAGATGTTGCTGAAGCATGAGAGCCAATGGTGGGGAGTAGGGGAACCTGAGCCCACATTGCTCCGTAAGATTCCAACGTAGGACCTTTGAAAACAATGGCCAGATACAAGACTCAGGGGTAGATGCCCTTATGCCTGTTCCCTGCATCCTCTCCTACTTGTTTCTGTTCCTCCATCTGTGCCACAGGTCTGTCTTGGGGTTCCCCATGGTGTCTTTTCAGGTCATGCACTATAGCACCTTCCCCATCTGCAGCAACTCGTCCTCAGCCCCTGCTGTTGAAAGGCCTGCAGCGATTTGACTCTGAGGCCTCGGTCTGGTAGGTTGGAGACCTGGCAGCTTCTCTGCAGGAGGCTACAGCACTGGCTTGGGATTCTAGAGTGGGCTGAGCTGCTCCCTTTTGAAGGCTTCTTCCATTGGGATCATGCCCAGAAGTGGCAAGAGGGTGGAACTTGCATTAGCCAGAGCAATTTAACTCCCATCTCACTAGTGTGGGGTTTGTGCATCCCATCACACACAGCATCTCCTTTAGAAAGACAAGCTCTCTTCCATAGCTTGCAACGAACGCTGTGACACAGAAGGTTGTATGAAAGTGAAGGAAAGGGCAGAGGAATCAATTTGGCTTTTTTTTTTGTCATTTAAACAAAAATTGTCCCCTAAGACTCCTCTGAAGAGCAGAGATATTTACCTCATCAGTTAGTGGAAAGAGATTAAGATTTAAGGCACTCCACTGAAAAAAACCAAGACCTGCAGTTCTGAAGTTACTAGTAGTTTGGTGCTGGTCTCTACAGTGTGTGACAATCAAGGAGGTACACAGTACCAAACTGCCATTGTTTTCTAATAGAGTTGCCAGTCTGAAGTTCTACTTTACAGCAATTCCCCATAGCCCGCTTGGGACTGCTTTGTGGCCCCAAATCCCCACAATACTGAGTACTACAACCAAAACCCCCTCTGCTAGGTCAGTGCTAGGACCTGGTCTTATGTGTCAGAAATTTGTACCTCACTCAGCCCCTGAAATGTACTGTGTTTTATTCTAATTGATCTCACAGGGTCATGCAACACTCTGGTGCATGTTCATAGCTGCTTCTGCAGTAAAGGCTTCATGCACTGTTGATATCTTCTCACTCTACATCATTATAACACACAGGCTGCAAATAAATGCACATGTATTTTCCACATTTTGCACGTCATTTTTATCTGAAGTGTTTTTGTGAAATGGTGGAAGACAATAGTGGTGGGGGTGGAGGTCTGGTGCAGAAATACTATCCAGCATTACATTCACTGCATAACAATTCTTTCATATCATGATTTTTCTTTTGCCATAAATGACACTACTTCAGAATTTGGTTCACATCAAATCCTGCTACACTTCCATTATAAATACAATGATGATAACCAACATGCTACTAGCCCCAGATTCACCTGTGAAATCCCCATTCATTTCTACACTGATTGGGTATCATTCACCACCACTCAAGAACTGTCACCATCACTTGGTTCTTTCGCTATCTATTATCTTCAATTACAATGGTTCTTCTAGGGTAGGTATCAATGTCCACAAATATGTAACGGTACTCATATCTTCCACTTTCAGGATTCTGTAATAAGGAAAAACATGCAAGGGTTATTTTGCCCTTTCAAATTATGCTTGTTGACTGTATAATTAATTGAAACAATTTTACCTCTTTAACTTCCACGTGGACTGTCCCTTGTTTTCCCTTTTCTGAGCCTTCAATGTAAAACTTTAAGCGCATGTATTTCAATCCATCTTTTACATATTGAATGTGACTAAGAAAAAGGAAGAAGGACACATGATGACATTCTGCATATTTCCGTATGAGACACCATGCACATTGCAGGAACGATATGTAAACTGAAACATTTGTACTGACAGCAATTTTGTCTCAGTGTCTGATCTTTCCTGCATCACACTGCCAGGTTAATTGTATATTCTTAACTCTCACAAATGGTTGTAACTTGTTCAGACATAAGATATTTTAAGGAAAAGGTGCCAGACAGCACTTTTTTTTTTAAAACTATAAATCCTTCCTCAACTATATTTTAATGAATTGCACTTGACTTAACACTCACACTAAGAAGAGCTGTTCAGCTATAGTTGGAGGGAATGTAATCCAGTGGTTTCAAGAGATGCCAGAATAATCTTTTAGACAACAAAGCTGTTTAACCTAGGACCATTTTAGGTATCTGAGGAACTATTGTACAGGTGCCATTTTCAAAAAATTGTGGATTCTAGCCACACACACTTAATATCAGTCATCTGATGGGAGTTAAAATTAAGAGCAAGAATACTGAAGTAGATGTGTTACTCTAGTAATAAAGACTGGAAACGAAAACAAATGGTGACTGATTTTATTCATCTTCAGGAAGCTGGTATATGGTAGAAAAAGTAGCCAGTGGTTTTATTGGCTCTGAAATTTAATTTTGATAGACTTGGTGGCTGACTAAAGATTCCTTGCTTGTAGATGTCAAGTCTTAGAAGTTGCATTCTTCTGGACTCCTACTATTCAACAGCCAGCCAGGAGACTGCAGAAAGCCAGGGCTTTTGTCAGGCATGGTAGCACTGCATAGCTAGTTCCTCCTGGTTGAAAATACTCCTATTGAGGTCACTAGCATCCCTCTGTGGGATCTAATTAGCTCACATTTAGGCTAATGAACCACCACACTATTCGGGTAACTTTGGGTCCAGAAATGCAAAAATATACCCAGTGAGCATGCCAATATGTATTTTGAGATGTGGGTCTGTCTGCACATTTTACTGCAGCCTCTCTTAAGAGTCCAGACTCAAAAATAAATGGAAAAAAAATCAACTGATAAAAAAAAATTAGAACTAGAAATCACAGGAAAATGCAAATCACTTTGTCACTCAGTTATGGCCCTAGAAAGATAGTTCCTGTTTTACAGACAGATTCTTAAAACTTCTTTTTTACATGTCAGTACTCAGCACCTGACTGAACAACATTTTTGACACACAATTTGGTAAAAATAGAAACTTTAATTGTGATAAAAATTATCTTCCTCCAAAACAAAAATCAGAATTTTAAGGATCAGTTTTCCTATGCAGGCCCAGCTATCTACTTCACCTTAAGTGGGTTTTGATAAAATGAAGTTCAAAGAGGTTGCTGTGACGTGAGGACTTCGTTGTGTGGGCACAGTACTGAGACAGAAGAAATCCACCCCAGCAAAATACTTTCAGTTGAAGAGCTAAAGCAAGTGAATATGACAAAAAAGAGAGAAGTTTGAAAGTTATAAATTTTCTTAGGGTATGTCTACACTTGTACCCTCTTTCGAGAGAGGGATGCAAATTAAGCCGAGAATTAAATATCCCACACTTCATTTGCATATTTGAGTTATGGCGCTATTTCGAAATAGCAGACGCTGTTAAGACGTGGTTATTTTGAGAGAAAACCCTTCTCTCGAAATAACTTTTATTCCTCATACAATGAGGTTTACCAGGTATTTCAAGAGAAGGATTTTCTCTCGAAATAACCGTGTCTTAACAGCATCTTATTTCGAAACAGCGCCATAATGCAAATATGCAAATGAAGTGCAGGATATTTAAATCACGGCTTCATTTGCAATTTTGAATGTCTTCATTTGCATCCTTCTCTCAAAAGAGGGTGCAAGTGTAGACATACCTTTACTTTTAGAGGACAGTCAAGGAATACTTTCAGAACACTTCAAAAGTGTTATGTAAGATCAGAACAGTTAGCGTATATTATATGCGTAGCCTCAAGTGAAAGAACTATGTGACTGAAAGGTGATCCACGCTGGAGGTAAACAGACATTCTGCAGTATCATATTAAAGTTGTTATAAAACATATTTATTTTAGTATTCTACCGCTAAAGTGTTCCTTTAATTTCCTGCCAGTTTTATAAGAGAAGGAATTAGATCCATTGGAATTGAGGAACTTTGTGCATTTTTACATATAAGACAAGGAAAATTAATTTGTTCTTGACTGACTTTTTTTAGGACCCTTTCCCAGCCTTCTCTACTGTTTCATAAATAAAAATGCTCTTGTAAGTGACAGTTCAGCAAAAAGGGTCTAGCTCATCTCTGAACAAAATAGATCCCATCATAATGCTTTACATTTTATACAAATAATTCTGTGAGTTTTCAGATCAGCATAACTATAAATAGAAGAGAAATACTGCCAGCGTTTGCAAGCCTAATAGCTCAAATTCTACACCTTCAGAAAGATCTGCTTGAAAAAAAAATCTTCCACCTAAAATTCCTGCAAATGTTCTTTTTAACATTAGCAAACACTCGCTACATTAGCTACGTGCCATGTAAGAAGTCCTTCAAACAGGTTGATGAGTTCCTTTTAAAAATGACAGCGATTCAATATATCCTATGCAGCTAAGTTAGTTTAGATTTAATCTTAGCCCAAAGTGTCTTTGCCGAAATAGGTGTCTATATAGGACAAATTCAAACAAGTACCTGACAAGCTGTCGTCTTCCTCGTCGAGTTGACTCACCATAACCTTTAATGGGTTCACCAAAAACACCTATTACCTAAGAAAAAGAGCAGAAACGAGATATAGGATGTCTAAAATGTCACATTCAAAGAGATACTCTTGTGTTATCCTGCCTCCCCATCTGAAATAATTTTCATTTCACCAAAATGCTTCAAGTATATTATTAATAGTAATAACCCAAGAATTTAGGAAACAAACTAGAAGAGAGCAGCAGATTTCATATTAAATAGTATTTCTACATTTCAATGGATTTTTTTTAAAAAAAACTAGATTACTCAATAGTCCTTATTATCCTATAAAGATCTTGCTAATATTTTTGCTATTTCTAAATTAATCCTACTCACATCCTAGTAATCTTGTCTGGAAGGCTATTATACACATTTACAGTTTTATATGAAAAAACGTATTTTTTTTTAAAAAAAAGATCTTGCTTTGAGTTTTTATTTGTATCTCGCTAGCCTGAACAACTCTATGGTCTTATTACTGTTAATGTCATCCTTCTTTCCCTTACATTATTTGTTAGTCACAGGTTGTGCAAATTAGACTAAAGTTTTGGGTGAGGGGTCATGTCTGTTTATTTGTACAGCACCAAGCACAATGGTGTTCTGGATCTTAATGGGACTCTTGTGAGTATCACAATATAGATAATAAGAATATATCACTATTGGGTGAAGAAAGAAGCTAAAAAGTATATGGTATGGTTTAGAGGGGGCCAATTCCCATATAATTCGTGGAATTGTGTGAGAATAAGTCAAGTGGAATTTGCTTTAGAGCTTAATGATTCAAAGAGCATGTAAGACAGCAGTTAAAAAGAAATCCTTTTATTCAACTATGGACTTGTAATTTAGATTTGAAGACCAACCTCAGGGTGAGATCTGCATTTTTCTAAGGCGTTACCATATATCTTACTGGGACTGGAAGAAGAAAATAGTTCTTTAAAAATCACATAAAACAAGCCACCTGAAATAGAGGGAAACAAAAACAAACAAAATTATAACAAATACGATCTGATGAACAATAATGAATAAAATATATTTACAAGGCATAAAGCTTTTTATATAACCTGTAATGCCAATCCCAACGAGCACCACTATGAAATAGGTAAAATCCCTGCCAGCTTCTTTTACTGTAATAGAGAGAAAAAACAGAGTAGTTACCATATTAGCGTATTATAATTTTATCATAAAAATAATTATCTTTTGTTTTATATGCCAGTCTAAAATTCAAACAGCACTTTTGTGAGTGGGTCTCATATTGGTAAGTGGGGAAAACATCAGCTTTTATTCCATTCCTTCTATTATACCTCAGCAGTAAAATAAAGAGACCATGAAAAGTTTTTAAGCCAGTTCTAGAAGAATTTTTTCAGCTAGTTAGTGTTAAGACCTAGAACAACCTGTGCTATTGCTCTCCTGCTGACACAGAAAGTAATTTTCTTTAAGTATCAGTAATACTTTTTCAGTAGCACAGTATTCAAGTTACAATATAACATGCATTTATAGCAATTTTTTTAAACCAGAGTTGGAGGAAAAAGTCAATACTAATGACACAGATTGTGAATGAGGAATTATCAAGTATGTGAACAATAAAAAGCCAGGCTGCTACAAGAGCATTTACTTAAGTCAATTGCAGTTCAGTTATATTTTGTAGTGTACAAGAGTAATAAGTCTTATTCATTACAGCCTCTCCAAACGTTTTTAGAACTATAGAGGCCACTAACTTGTGTGGATTATAAACTGTGCTTTGCAGCAAAGTACAAATTAGCAAGGAAACTTAAATAACCTCTTTTCCTCCAGCTTTCTACAGCCCTCTATCAGCCTAGGTTTTTTCTAAGAAAAGTGCTTATATTTTCTGAATAAAGAAAAGAACCTACCTGTGTAACAATCACTTCTTGCTCAAAGGAATGAATGGGAGGAACCAAGGGAACAGGGATCATATGATGGAACTATCATCATACATTACATAATTACAATCATAATAAATAATAATGTTAGAAATAGATGAATGAATTACTATAATTTGAAGAAAAGTCATCTCATTCTATGCTACCCCTAAGCAAAGTATTTAGTTTTTTGTTTCACTAGAGTGGAACTAAAACAAACAAAAAACTATTAGATCCTTTAGGGTACTAAATTGGCCTAAGCTACATGTTATAAATTGCTTGATGGACAATCAAAGCATTTAAGATCAATTAAGATATCAAATTGTGATAGTCACTTATGCTGATCAGTGTAAGTGGGACCTCCTTGTGACAGGGTGTAGTCACAGAAGACCCTTTGAGATAATTCCCAGCGTTCTAAGCCACTGACACCTGCCTTCGGGCTCTCTGGGGCTCCCCAGCAAGGACTAGATCATCTGGTCTCCCCCAGACAAGGCACAGTTGTGGTTACTGCCCCCCTGAAGAGCAATGCAGACACTGAAACCCTTCAGCTCTGGGAGGATGCACAGCACCCAGAAAACTAACCCACGACAGGGATCAAAACACCAAATAAAGCCATCTTTCTCTGTGTAGAAGTTTTACACAAGGAAAGGTAATGAGGATGTTCACCCTCTTTATCAATGAAAGACAGTCATGCATACTGGTCGTTCCCCCTAGGTAACAAATATTTACAGTGGGCCTGGTAGTAAACAAGTGTTTTTATTAAATACAAGCAGTAGGGTTTAAGTCAGTGGTTCTCAAAGTGTGGTTTGCAAACGCCTTGGGCTGTGGCTAGGGGCTCACTCCTCTTGCAGCGGGGAGCCTGTGCTGGTGTTTGAGCCCTGCCCCCCCTGCAAGATTGGAGTGTCAGCACTGGCTTCCTGCTGTGGAGAGAGGAAGTGGTTGTGTGTGGTGCTGCTCCCCCCGACTGAGGGAATGGCATAGCCTAGAGGCTGGAAATACAGCCAATGGGAACAGTGGAGGTCATGGAGCTAGGTAAGCACCCCCATATTCCAACCTTGTACTCCCATGTAAGGATGTTAAATTGCGGTTAATTTATTAGTCGATTAGTTGATGAAATTTCCATCAACTACTTGACTAGTCAATAGGCACTTCAGAACATCACATGCAGGCCGGGGTCAGCGAGAAGCCACTGTCTCCGGGCTGCACATGAGTGCACCAGCTTTGAAATGTACAAAAGTCCCCAGCAGGAGCTCTTGTGCATTTCAAAGCGGAAGTGCACTCATGGAGTCTGGGATCAGTGGGGGACTCAGAGCCATGTTGTGCTGCCAATTTGAAATGCCACGGGGTGGCCAGGGTCAGCTTCTGCCTGGCATTTCCCCAGGCTCCAGGTGGCCCTGCTGCTTTGAAACACCACCTCGGCATTTCAAAGGGGCAGCGCCCTACAGCTGATCCCTGGCTCAGCTGTGCGGTGCTGCTCCTTTGAAATGCCGAAGCGGCATTACAAACGGGCATTGCCATTTGAAGTACCCACTCTCCTCCTCCTCCCTCCCCCAGTGCTGTGTCTATCTGATAGAAGGGGGGAAGAGAAAGAGGGGGAGAGGAAATTGACTGGTCGACTTACTATCCAATAAGCATTTTCCCTCCTTACCCTCATCCTACTCATGAATCCCACCTCCTGCCAAGACTCTACACCCCTGCCTTGCTCCTGCACCCCACCTCCCACTCAAACTCCCACCCCCACTTGGCTCCTCTACCCAACTTCCCGGACAGACCCTCCATCCCCATCTGCACTCATTTTATCATCATGGATGGTTGGCTGGTGGTGCATGGAAAAGTCCGTGTTGAGTGGGGTGGTCCGCGGGCCAAAAAGTTTGAGAAACACTGATGGAAGTGATTTCAAGTGAAAGCAGAAAGATTAAAGTAAGTTATTAAGTTTAAATTGAAATGAAAAAAACACTTAGCTAGTGCTAATTCACTTAAAATAACTTATGGCCAGCACATTCTTATCCTAATGAGCTGTTCTTGTTTTAGGCATAATCTTCAGGTCAGAGACTTTTGTACTCTAACCTGGGTCCCCAGCCCTTTATATTCTTTCAGGATTTTCTGGAGCAGCCAAACAGAACGGGCTGATAGCTTCCCCTTGCTTAAATAGTATTTTCCTCAGGGTGGAAATCTTTCGTTCTACATTCTCTCTTCCATGGAAAAATACCTGGATCAAAATGCCATCCCAATTATCAGCTGGTGTGGTCACATATCTAACTAGTCAAAACACCTTTGGACTTACAGGACAAACAAAGCTATTTATAAATCGTTAAGTTGATCACCAAGTTGTTAAGGGTTCCGGGCATCCAGTGATGTCTCTCATTAGCATATTTAAAACTATAAACAATCTTATAAAAGAATGATTCATACACCAAAACAGGATATATAGATCCAGTTAATTGTTACATTCAAAACGGATAGGTTACATGAGAAATTTTGTCTATAGCGTCTCCAAATTATGCATATTTATATTTGTAAGATGATTTTCATTAAATAGTGAAGGGGGGGGGGAACCACCACACTTGTTGGCCTCAACATTAGGTCAGAGAAATAGAATTATATGGTTCAGCACGTTCCTATTAGATTGAAAAGTAATCAAATAATTATGAAAGACGAAGATGGTTCTTGGAGAGTAATACAGCTGAGATGGCTGAAAAGTGGGATCTCCACTATGGACTATACCAAAGCCTCTTACATTGCTTCTTCCTTCCCTTTTGAAACAATTTGAGTTGTCTCCCCTTCTATTGGTGATCAAATGGCAACATTGGTCATTGGTGGCAACTACCCTGATTACATACATGGAAAAACACTACCAGGAAAACATTCACTATTTTTTGTAGCTGTATTAACTACAAAGGAGGTGCCAGTACCATGTGATCAGCCATCTCTCTGCAGGCAACTAGCAAATGGACCACTGTCTGGAAATCACTTTCTTAATTCACTAAACTAAGCCAGTTTTAATCTTCAGGAAATGACATGGATGTAGAATTTATATCAGGGACATGAAAATGTGTTTATTCAGGTAAATATGTAAGCAGTGAAAAAAAATCAGTAATTACATGTTTACAGGTTGAGGAAAGGGGGCAGAGGCAAGCGGGAGCTAGCGCTTACAGAGCCAGCTAACTCCCCCTGAGCACCGGGTCCCACCTGCTTTCCCCCCTGCTGCCTCTTACACAGAGGCAGCAGTGAGGGGATGGGGGAATAGGAGGCTCTGCGGGAGCTGGTATGCACGAACACCAGCTCCGGCCTCACCTGCCCTCCGCTATAGCCGCTGATACAGAGGCAACAGTGGGAGAGGGGTGGCCTGCATGTAATTGTGAAGATTAACTGATGAGCCCAGGCTCAACCGTTAACCAGGTATACGTTTACACTTTCACATCCCTAATGTACAGGGTTTAAATCACCTCTACATTCCTTTCTGGTTTTTTCATATTAATCAATGGATGCTGTGCAATCTAAGATCACTGTGGCCAAGTGGAAGAAATCCTTAGAGGTGAGTTGCAATCTCCACATTAAAGAGGGACTGATGAAACTGATATCAAATATTAATCTAATACATAGATTTGGAAATTATTAGGTACAAAGCCACTCTTCCTCACCTAAAGACTGCTTTTTTGTTACAATGGTAATAAGAAAATGTGATGTGTGTTTGGAGGAAGAAAATTATTTTAGAAGAGTTAACATTTGAATTTGTATCAGCCTTTAACCCAAATATTGCTGATTAGGTTTATTTTTTTTTTCCTATTTTTTCTCCAAGGCTGGAGTGGTGCTAAAAGCTGACTGCAGGCAGGCAGAAGGCAAGAGAATAGGAATGTAGTGTTAAACTTCTGCATGCAAGGGGATCCAACCATAACTGGGGAGACAGATGGAGAGCACTGTGTGTTACTTATGTGGACCCTACAAAACATATTAGGCCTGTTCCAATTAGCCTACCTATAAGAAGCCTGCCACTTACCTATTGGCTACGTCTAGAGTTTTCCGTTAAAAGCATTTGCGGAAAAGAGCGTCTAGATTGGCATGGACGCTTTTCCGCAAAAGCACTTTTTGCGGAAAAGCGTCTGTGCCAATCTAGACGCGGTTTTGCGAAAGAAAGCCCCAATCGCCATTTTTGCCATCGGGGCTTTTTTGCACAAAACAGTTTTTAGTTGTCTACACGGGCCCTCTTGCGCAAATACATTTGTGCAAGAGGGCTTTTTCCCGAACAGGTGCAGCATAGTATTTGCGGAAGAACACTGACAATATTACATTAGATTGTCAGTGTTCTTCCGCAAATTCAAGCGGCCAGTGTAGACAGCTGCTTTTGCGGAAAAACTTGCCAGTTTAGACACAGCCTGTGAGTGTGTAATACACACATACCAGTTAAAAGTCAACTCTGTATAAAGTTATGCTAAAAAATGCAATGTATAAACCGGGGGATGAGTTGCAGCTGTGGGAATCAGTTTTATATTCCTCAGTTGTAGGGCTGTAGATGGTCACTGCTATTTAAAACCAATGCAAGTTGCTAATTAATATTGGCCATAGCTTCACTTTCACTTACCTTTCTGAGCAGCCGACACGGGTGCGCCTCCTTTGTGACTTCTTTGCACAGACACTTGTTTGCTGTTATTCCCAGCTCTGAGGGATCCTTCCTGGGTCCAGATATTTTGTTTTGCACCTTGGAAAAGCATACGAGGACGCAACACAGATTCTATGTGGGAAAATTCCTGCCCCCACATAAAACACCGCCAAGTCCTTAGAAACACTTTCCCATGGAGGGCAAGCAACCACTTTCCTGTCGAGCCTTGTAACTTCTCGCTGCATTTAATAACTCGTGTAAACGAAGGAGAAAACATCATGAGGCAAAACAAGTCTTAGTATGTTACCAACAAACAAAGATCTATGTAGATTAGTTGAACTAAACCCTCCCTTGATTATTGCAGGAAAGATCTTAACTTAATGTAATCTGCACCTAAGCAACGCATACATAGTGTGTGCAATGAAGGTGCTGTCCCTTTAGTGAAACAGAATTGGAGCAATCTCTCAATTTGAATTTGCTTTTACCTTGTTGATTTACTTTAATCGAGAAACCTACATTACCCTGTGCTCGCTGACATTTTCAACTTCCTCCATCACGTTTGCAAAGTTCCCTGGAAAAAAAATGCCATGAGGTCCTGGGAATTGTAGTTCACAGAAATTCGCCTCCCATCTATATTTAATAGTAGCTGAAAGGAAAAATGACTACAACTACCACAATGCAAAGCGCCAGCTCCTGCCTGTGAGATTAAATTGCACCGACACAAACCTACAGTAATTTCAATCTCCTGGTTCTAGAACAGATACCACGTAACAAAAGTAGTAAGGGAGGCTGGATGCTTTTGACTTCCTTTAACTCTCAGCGCTTGTGAATGAAAAAGAGCATATGTTTTGGAGTGTTTTCTTCTCTTTTCGTTTTTTGAAGGTTTCCAATTGTCATTTTAGGAAAACATTATGACCTTGCAATAATGCGAACTGCCTATTGTTTTGCAAATATAGTGGTAAAAGAAGCATTTCTTCCTTTTTCAAGGTGAATAAATCCTGCAAAGATTTAGGGACACCTTTAGTCCCATGGTCTTTGCAGGATGAGGTTCTAAAATGGTCGTTTTTCATCATGGAAACGGATGGATGTAAAATCTATTTTAACAGGGCCTGATTCAGCAACTGAGTGAACATAAAAGTAACTCTGCCCCCCTGGTCAAATTCTATGTATTTATTATGTTTTCCTCCCAATAATTCCTTTGTGGTCAGCATGTGCATACAGCTCCTATATAATCATATAACTATTTATTAATTAAACTCAGCTAGTAAATAATTCCATGAAGCCACTACCCAAAAACACCTGTAAAGATTTTACTCAAACTTTCTAGGACAATTCACACTTAAAAGAAATATGTTTGAGGAAGTTGTGAGCACTGAAAAGGCAGAAGCTATAATTACAGTTGGAATTCAATCATAAGAGACTCTACTGCTTTTAGCATGGAAGCTACAATAATGATAATAAGAATAACAGAATTGTACTTTATGACATCTTTAAGAATCTGTGATAGCCCACTATAGACAGAGTAGCAGACATTTATGTCCTAACCCAGCGGTTCCAAATCTTTTTTATACTGAGGACCAGCAAACTCATCCAAAAACTGCTGGAGGACTGGCAATGGAATATTTGCATATTCATGTTGTCATTAATGTGTTTGCATATTTCCATATTTATTATGGTAATATTAAGGGGTCACATTATTTTACATTGCATTTTTTACATTGTCTTTTGTTTTGAGATGAGAGGCTAAAAGGGCCATGCTTCCAATTTATGGGCAGCCTGCTGCCCCTCAGCTCTGCATGTGCTTTCTGCAGGGGCTCAGTGCTTCTCAGGGCTTCCCTCACGCCCTGCCCTGTGCAGCTCCTTCTAGAACCAGGGCAGCCACTGTACATGCGGCATTTGGAAGTCGCTTTCCTGCACAGCGCTTGTCTCCCCTCCCCTCCCCTCCCCCGGCTGGGGCAGCCGCTATCCCTTGGCCCTGCTGGCCAGGCCACGTAGTGGTTGCTGGACCTGGAACTGAGGCCATGGTGAGGCTGCCCCAATAGGATGGCTCCAGCCTCAGCACACCCAGCTACCAGCTGCCCCACTCACCCTGTTGTGAGGTGCCTTACAGAAGGGAATTCTCTTGGAAACCAAGGGGCGGAGTAAATAAAAGCTGGGGTGTGGCCTGGCAACGTGCAGAAGCCCGGCAGACGAGGGTTCGTGGCCCGCTGCTGGGCTGGGGACTAGTGTTTGGGAACTGTTGTCTTAACAAGATAATGGTCCATTGTTTGTAAATTCTTTGTAATATTAGATGCAGTTTAATATTTTCTTTAGGCTCTATCAACATAAAACTTTCACTGGCATTTAAATTCAGTGCTTAATAACTAATACATACCATCTCGAGTGCTTTACATTTACAAAGCACTTTAGAGACTTGCTTAAGCCTGGATGTTAATGACCCATGTAGGTAGAATAGTATCTTTTTCATGTCTCAGAGGGATAGCCCTGTTAGTGGGTTTTGCCCACAAGAGCTCATGATACTATATATATTTTTGTTAGCCTCTAAGGTGCCATAGGGACTACTCGTTTTGACTCTAGGGCTGTGTCTACACTGGGCCACTTATTCCGGAAAATCAGCCGCTTTTCCAGAATAAGCTGCGAGCTGTCTACACTGGCCCTTGAATTTCCGGAAAAGCAATGATGCTCTACTGTACAAAATCAGCCGCTATTCCGGAAAAACTATTCTGCTCC